CTGCCAATTTTCTGTGTAGATGATCTGTCCAATGCTAATAAGGGGTGTGATGTCCCCAACTATTATTGTATTAAGTTCTATTTCTCCCTTTAGATTCAATAATAATTGCTTTATATATTTGGGTGCTTCAATGTTGAATGCATACATATTTTTGATATATTTTCTTGCTGAATTTATCCCTTTATTATACAGTGACCCTCTTTGTCTCTTTTTATAGTTTTTGGTTTAAAGTCTATTTTATCCTGTATAAGTATAGCTACTCCTGCTAAATTTTGGTTTTCATTTGTGTAGAATATATTTTTCCATCCCTTCACTATTAGTCTGTGTGTGTGTTTACTGATGAAGTGAATTTCTTGCTGGCAATGTAGAGTTGGGTCACATTTTTTTTAATCCATTCAGCCAGTCTCTACCTTTTAATTGAGGAGTCTAATCCATTAATTTTCAGTGTTGTTATTGAAGGCATTTTCTTACTCCTGACATTTCATTAATATTTTTAGGTTGTTTCATGTTTCATTTTTCCTTTCTTTCTTTTTTATTGCTTGTCTTTCCTGTTTGGCCTTTTGTTTCTTTGTTTGTTTTGTTTTGTTTGTGAAGATACAGGTTCTTTCTTTCTTTCTTTCTTTTTTTCTTTCTTTCTTTCTTTCTTTCTTTCTTTCTTTCTTTCTTTCTTTCTTTCTTTCTTTCTTTCTTTCTTTCTTTCTTTCTTTCTCTTTTCTTTCTATTTGCATATCTGCTCTACTAGTGTGTTTTATCCTTTCTCTTGTATTCATAATCTAAGTTATCATCTTTTGTGGTCCTAGATATAGGACTCCTTTCAGGATTTCTTATAGGGCCAGTCTTATGGTGGTGAATTCCTGTAGTTTTTGTTTGTCTGGGAAAGACACTATTTTATCTTAATTCCTTATTTTCTAGATATATTATTCTTGGCTGGCAGTATTTTTTAAAGTAATCTTTATTATTATTATTTAATGCTGTTTACATACTAACAGTGTTTGGTCTTTTAGCACTTTGAATATATTATCCCACTCTCTCCTGGCTTGTAAGGCCTCTGTTGAGCAGTCTGCTGTAAGTCTGATGGGGTTTCCCTTATAAATGACTTGATGTTTTTCTCTTGCTTTTTTTGAATCTCTTTTTGTCTTTCACTTTTGACAATTTGACTATAATGTGTCTCAGGGAGAATTTTTTTGGTTGGAACTTGTTTAGAAATCTGTGAGCCCCTTGGACCTGGAAGACTACATCTCTCCCAATACTCGGAAAGTTTTCAGTTATTATTTTGTTAAATAGGTTTTCAATGTTTTTTTTTTCCTTTCTCTTCCCTTTCTAAAACATTGATGATATGAATATTTGTACACTTAAGTTTGGCTAAAAGATCTTATAGACTTTCTTCATTTTTTATTTTTTGCCTTTTTAATTTTTTTTTATTTTTTTTCTTTTTTTTGGTCCAACTGCATTAATTCAAAATGCCTGTCTTCAAGTACAGAAATTCTTTCTTCTGCTTGTTCTAGCCTTGTTGCTTAAGCTCTCCGTTGTATTTTTAATTTCACCAAATGAAATCTTCAGTTCCAGGATTACTGCTTGTTTCTTTTTTATGATTTCTATCTCTTTGTTGAATTTCTCATTCATGTCCTGGGATGTTTTTCTGACTCCATTCTGATATCTATTTATATGTGTATTGCACAATTAGTGCAGTCTTTATACAATTTCTTTGGCTGTATTCAATCTTGGATCTGTCTATGGGTCCCTTTGTGGCCTAGACAGTGAGGTCCTTAGCAGTTTCCTGTTGAAGGGGTGGCACTAGGCAGGGTTGTTATGGCTGTAGACCTGGAAGTTTGTAAAGGCCTGCTTTAGAGAATCAAAGCTCCTGCCCAACCCACTGTCAATAAGTGAGCAGAGGTACACTGGTGCAGCAGGTCTGGGGATAACATTAAATTTGTAGACCACATTAGGTAGTTTGGACGTTTTAACAATATTAAATCTTCCAATCCATGGTCACAGAATTTTTGTTTTATTTATTGACATCTCCATTAATTTCCTTTACAGTATATTGTAGTTTTCAGTGTACAAATCTTCAACTTCCTTGGTTAAATTTATTCCTAATTATTATTTTTGATGCAATTGTAAATAGAATTGTTTTCTTAATTTCCTTTTTGTATGGTTTGTTAGTGTGTAGAAACATAACTAATTTTTTTATGTTGGTTTTGTATCCTACACTTTACTGAATTTCTTTAATTAGTTGTAAGAGGCATTTTTATTTTGTGAATCTTATGTCCAAACTCATCAAATTGTGCACATCAAATATGTGCAGTTTTCTTTATATGTCAGCTATACTTCAATAAAGCTATTGAAAATTTTTGGCCAATGAGCCCAAGCATTACATCAAGGCTCTCAAGTGAAAAAGGAGTCTGTGAACTCACTTCCAATTTGGAGATGAGGTGGAATGGTTGATGAGAAGTTGGATGCTGAAATATAGCATTGCATACAATGGTAGACTTTAAGAAACCATTAGATACCAGGTCACTTCTGCATCTACCTGCCTGTACTTCAATGGAAAGTCCTCTGTTAATCTCAGCTATGCAGAAATTTTACTTTGGATCTAAAGCATTTTCCTTCTTTGCTTATGGGGAAGGCTGTTAGGGTACTTGCTGTTGTATTTGTTGTTGAGGGCTCTGAGAAAAAGAGGTTAATTTTCACCTTTTTATTTCTATCCTCACACTCCTTTTTATTAATACACGTATGACTCCGAGTCCTGAACTCCCATGATTGTAATAATTAAGAATCTGAATTTTGAAATATTTGTTCCCACTTAGTCTTTTGTTTTGGCAGCACAGGTCATTTGTGAAGAGAGGTGTCTTTATAATATCGGTGTGGAGTACTCATGTAAAAATCAAGTTCTGAGTACTCCTACTGCTGGCTGTCATCTTCATATCCTAGTGAACATATTGGCAGTTTGAGCCAAGTCTGAAGCCAAGCACAGCATGATAACAGTAACAGCAAGAATGATATAAGTTATAAATGTGGTTTAGACTGGCAAGTGCTGACTCTGAAGAAAATTATAACAGATCCATGAAACGGGGGTCAGAATTCTCAGAATCTTCCTCTCTATAGTGCTTCTTGCTTCTCAGAGCATATCCCTATTTGAGTGTACTCCAAAACACTGTGGGTACTTACGTTAATCCACTTGGAAACCTTTTGAGGCTAATTGTAACTAAGTCTCTATTGTTGCTGTCACACTGCTGTCAATGTGTGTCACACCTCTGTCAGTATGTGTGATAACTGTCTTTTGTTGTGTAGGAGAATCAATCTATTCATCATGTTTGCACACCTTTAAGGTATCACCATCAAGTTCCTGCATTTTGTTTATACTAGTAAATTTACAGTACCTGAAATAAACTGAACCTTTGGTGTTCTACTCAAACTAAAAGGCATATGAGGGGAAAAAAATGTTTGTGTCAATGAAAGCTAACGTTAAGTCTCTGTTGTTGTCTGTGGCTATTAGCCAAAAACGTGGATTAGGTTATATCATGTATTGGAATCTTAAAAGTATTATATCATGTATTGAAGTCTGGGAATACTTTGAAAGTTGGAGAGCTATTCTGGATTTTCCAATTAGGCAGCAATAATCTTGGGTAAAGTCTACTCATTAATGTTGTGAACCATTTATTTCCAATAATGGAGAGTGCTACATTACTCATTTTGTATTTTGTTACCTACATAATAGAATCAGTTAGTTGTTACACCTTACAGATAATATCATTTACCACCACATTTCTTCAAGATGCTATGAGATCTATGCAAATTTATCATTTTTTATTTTTTTTCTTATTAGAAAAAAATCCAAGACATCCTTAAATCAGCATGTTGCTTAAAATCTAAGTTCCTCACTCAGTGGACTCAAAACATACTGTTAAAACTTGCCAAGGGCATACAAAGAGAGGATAGGAAATGACATCTTAGAACAAACATCTCTGAACTTTTGGTGAAAAAAATGACAGATTCCTTGCTCCCTATTAATGCCTTATGTGGTGATAGGAAAAACATAAATAAATGTAGACAGATGTTGTGAAATACTGCAAAAAAAGAGAAGACATTAAACTGTAGAACCTTATCCAAAAAGTTATCTTTGACTTACTCTGGAGGCATAGCATCATAGCTCATGGAGTTCTGCTTATCTCATGAATGTTTGTTACTCAAATCTCCGAAGGTCAAGAGCTACTGAAGAGAATACCATATCCCAGTGTCAAATGATGTTTTTCCCCTCAAAATTGCTATGGTATAAGATAATTTTGTTTGAATTATGAATTGCAGTATTTATCATATTTGATTCTTAGATTTGGGTCTGTAGTTCAATAGACCAGGCAGTGTGTTAAATGCTTTGCTTTCATGTAAGTGAAAATCAACATACACACACACAGACACACACACACACACACACACACACACACACACACTTGGAGCCAGGTTAAAATATGGGGTTAAGCACACCAGACCAGGAGGAAGAAATAAGAAAGTGGAGCCATTTAGAACACTGGAAAGAGAAGACGACTGAGTTCCAGAGTGACAGAGCAGTGGGGAGGGAGGAAGCCTGAGTTAGGTGAATAAACCAAAAGAATCCACTAGGTTAAAGCAGACAAAAACTGAGCAAGTGTTTCATATCACCCTTTTAATTTACAAATGTGGACATAAAGGGAGGTGAAGTGACCTTTCAAAATGACATGGGGTTTTCAAGGGTGGTATGAAAAAGGTAAGAACAGAAAGTTCAGTTGGAAGCCAGAGATGTAAGAGACAGTCTAGAAGTCAGGGTTGAAGGAGAAATGAGAGTCACAGTAGGAGACTCAGGGCTGTGGGAGGAACTTTTTTTCTTTGCTAACACAACTTGGATGAGGAAGAGATTTGTCAGTTGGAAGAGAGAGGAAGTCACTGTAGAGTACTGAGAAAAAGGTTTGCTGAAATCAGAGATCAAACACCAGCTCTGAGAGTCAGAAGTTGTATCTCCCAGTGAAATGCAGCTTCTGCCACTTCTATTGCTGGTGGCTTTCTTCCCAGGTGGTGACAATGAGGAAGGTAAGAGTAACTGGCAGCCTCCAGTACTGGTGCAGGGGGTCTATATAAAAGTATGCTGTGTTTACCTGGGTGCACTGAACACTAAGGGGTCTGGGCCTTCCTGTCTCCCGCCCTCTTCCACCATCCTGAAGGTTGGGGTTGGAGCCTGAGGCTCTAGGCACGCAAATGTGTAAGGCTTTAGGTGTTCTTTTCCATTTCCGTTCTTTGTCCTTGCTCATCATATTATCCTCCACTCTTCACAGCCTTCCAGGGGCCAACCTCTTACCATGTCATCCAGATCTCGACCTTTGCCAACAGCACCTGGACACAAAATCAAGTCTCAGGCTGGTTGGAAGATTTGCAGATTCATGGCTGGGATAGTGACTCGGGCACTGCCATATTCCTGAAGTCCTGGTCCAAGGGAAACTTCAGTAATGAGGAGATTACTGAGATAGAGGAGCTAATCCGAGTCTACTTCTTTGGATTCATTCGAGAAGTGCGGGCCCATGTCAGTGAACTCCAGATGGAATGTGAGTTCAGTCATCTCATCTGGGGGGATTCTCAAAGACTCTTTTCTCTTTCTTGGTTCAGACTCCTAGTCCTTCTGATCTTTCTCCCCTCCTCTGTACTTTACCCAACTGCATGCACACACTTTTATAGATAGTCCCTTGCTCTGACTCCACACCTCCACTTTTCCTAGATTCTTTCTGCCTCTGCACTATTCTCTGAAAGATGACGGCTCTTCCTTTGCAACCAACCCGTGTTTGTCTCATGTCAAATTTCCTGCTAAAGGGCGCTTGCTTCTCCTACCCTGTGCCTGAGTAACCTAAATTGTGGCTTCCTCCTCTTTATTTCTTCCTCTCTTCATTCTATTCCTCCCTGAACGCTCCTCTCCATGTGATCCTCAGGTTCACTCTGGAGTGCTGTTCTCCTGACGCTGTCACACTGTTCCTCACACTCTGCCTCTCCTCTTCCATCTTACCTACTATACATCTTTACCACAGCCCCTCCCCCCATCCATGACATCTGTACTTCTCCTATGCTCTTCCTTCAGAAAAGCTTTAAATGCTGCACTTTTGCTCATTTCACATCCCAGAAATTTTTCCCTATGAAAAGCTAAAATTCTAGGTCCCTTTCTCCTTACTTTCTTTCTTGTTTATATTTAACAAATTATTCTCTGTTTTACTTCTACCTAGACCCCTTTGAGTTCCAGATCATAGCAGGCTGTGAGCTGCATCCTGGGGGTGACATAGTAAGCTTCTTTAGGGGAGCTTTTAGAGGACTGGATCTCCTGAGCATCAAATATTACTCATGTGTGCCTTCCCCAGAAGGCGGAATCACAGCACAGCAAGTCTGCACACTACTCAATCAAGGTATCATCGATATTATAACGAAGCTCCTCTATGAAACCTGCCCCCGCTATCTCTTGGGTGTCCTTGATGCAGGGAAGGCGGATCTGCAGAGGCAAGGTTAGCCCTGTTCTTTTTTCACTTTCCACCACCTCCTTTAAACCCAAAAGTGGCAAGATACCCTAAAAGTAGAGGGGCTTACTCAGTAAGTTATTTGCTTCCCAAAGAAGTGGAATAGGTCGCTGTCCAAGCTTGTGTATTTCTGAGTTTCTATGCTCTGTATTTCAGTGCAAATCTGACATTCTCTCTGCCCCTTCCTGCCCCAGTGAAGCCCAAGGCCTGGCTGTCCAGTGGCCCCACTCCTGGGCCTGGCCATCTGCTGCTGGTGTGCCATGTCATAGGATTCTATCCAAAGCCTGTGTGGGTGATGTGGATGCGGGGTGAGAAGGAGCAGGCGGGCACTCAGCGAGGTGACCTCCTGCCCAATGCTGACGGGACATGGTATCTCCGAGTAACTCTGGATGTGGCAGCTGGGGAGGCAGCTGGCCTGTCATGCCGGGTGAAGCACAGCAGTCTAGGAGGCCAGGACATTGTCCTCTACTGGGGTGAGAAGGAACCGGGACCCAGGCAGCAAATGGGAGCAGGAGGTCCTCCAGCATAGAAGGAGGGACTAGAGAAGGGTGGGGTATGAGAGTGAGAGAGAGAGAGAGAGAGACTTCTGTGATACCTGTCCTAGCAAATTAAAAAAAAAAAATGTTGATACAAACTATAGAAGAGCTAAGAATGAAGGACCTATAGATTGGATGGGAAGGGACAGGAGAGCAAGACAAAGGATGGATAGATGGTATCTGGGAATATGAGAGAGGGAATTGGAGATGACTCTACATTGGAAGCACATGAATTGTGCTGACACACAGCTGGGCAAAGGAAGGCCAGGGGAATCAGAGGATGAGACTTAAAGTGACATCCTTGTATCCTCCCCAAATTGCCAGGACACCGCACCTCCATTGGCTTGATGTTTTTGGCAGTAATGGTGCCTTCTTTGATCCTTTTGCTGTGCTATGCATTATGGTTTGTGAGGCACTGGTGAGTTTTTATTTTTATTTTTTTAATCTTTCTTTTTTGTCCACCCTTCCACTCCTTCCCACCATTTTGCCTGTTTCCATCACTTTAGCCTCAATCTTTCCACCACACTCTTTTCCACCAACTCCCATCTCCTTTATGTAGAAACACTATTTACAATTTGTTCAAATAGGCACAATATAAAGTTTACCATCTTCACCATTTTTAAGTGTACAGCCGTGGTGTCGAGTACATTTACACTGTTGTGTAAGCAATCTTCAGAATGTTTTCATCTTGCAAAACTGAAACTCAACACCTATTAAACAGCAACTCTCTGCTTCCCCCTCCCCCCAGCCCCAGTGTTAGTGTAAACAACACTCTACTTTCTGTTTCTGTGCATTTCAGTGTTCTTGGTACTTCATATAAGTGAAATCAGACAGTATTTGTCTGTTTGTTTCTGGCTTGGTTCACTTAGCAAAATGTCCTCAAGGTTTATCCATGTTTTAACATGTTACAGATTCCTTTTTTAAACCTGTATAATATTCCATCATAGGCATATTACACATTTTGTTCATCCACTTATCTATCCATCTATAGATACTTGTGTTCCTTCTACCTTTGGCTATAGTAAATAATGCTGTTATGAACATGGATGTACAAGTTTATCTTATGTAGACATATCTTTTGCTGTGTTCTTGACAGGTCATATCAGGATATTGTGTGAACCCTCATCACGTTTTCTCTCCCATTTTGGAATAAGTGTCAAAAAGCCCAGAATCTCAAGATGTCAGCCCAGGAGTTGATCTCATCATTTTTTTATCAAATAATTATCATATTTGATCAAATCAGAGTTCCCGCATATTTTACGATAAATGATAACTTAAATACCAGCAGAAAAATTATTAAGAACTGTACATTTATTACGAGATTATATCAAAGGTAAAATCCACTCAGATTTAGTTTATGTTAAGATGTGAGAAAGAATACATCTCAGAATAAATGAAATATGGTATATGTAACTTAATGGTGACTTCCATTTGGGTTCCTATTTTAAAAGTTTTCTTCAGCTTCTGCTTAGCTATCATTTGTCTAAGTAAGCTAAATCTAATTATGCTGGGATAACTGTATTTGCAGAGATGCTGAGGCTTTTTGATGTAATTTCTCTGTCTCTCCATGGATGACTTTCTAAACCTCAAGGCCCAACTGATATGCTTCTTCCTCCAGGAAGCCTTTTCTACTGTTATAATGGAAGTAACCCGCCCTAGTCTGGTGGCACA